CAATTCCCAGAATTCATAGCTATGATGGGAATTGACCATATTAGCCTGGAAAATGTAATCCTAACACAGCTGAAGGATGTTTTTGCTAGACAAGGATGCCCAGAATGCAGTACTACGAAACCTGGGTTTTGAAAAACATAATAAATGCAGCAAAGTGAGAAATTTATATCAGGATCAAAATACACATGAAGAGAAGTGTTTACCCTCTTTTCTCCAACTGTAGTTACATTAGAGAATTCTTTCATCCAGATGCCTATTAAGACAGAAGATCTTTTGAGACCAAGCTAATGTAATTTGGCCCTCCATTCCAAACAGCTAAGGAATGTTTTCAATCAGCATGAGCATGAATCTTCTAATGTTAACATTCTAGTCTTCAGCTGCCAATCCACATTAATTTGTTAGTTAATTTTATTTAAAACATTGATATAGCTACCCATCTTAAAACCAAACTTTGAGAGGCTTACACTCAACAATAAAAATCACATATACAATTACAACAACAATAAAACTCAAAAAGAAAAAAAAACCAGAAAAATCTGGTGCCACAGCCACATTTTCTTCCTATGATCTCAGCCATCACAGTGCCTATGGGAACAGCCAGGTTCTGAGTGCTTCCCAGAAGATTAAAAGGAGAGTGGGGATTGACAGGTCTCCAGGGAGAGGGTATTCCATAAGGCAAGAGCTGCCATGGAAAAGGCAGGCTTCAAAGAACCCATAATGCTCATGGAAAGGAACCTAGAATGTGCCTATCCATTCTGGTGGGAGAGACAGAGGATGTCCTACAGATAACCTGGTCCCAAGCCATATGGTTCTAAAGGTATAACCAACATCTTGAATTGCATCTGGAAGGGGACTGAAATCCGGTGGAGCTTATGCAGCAGGAGTGTAACTTAGGTGAACCCAGAAGTAACCAACAGTACCCAACACTGCACAATTCACTGCATTCTGCATCAGTTGTAGTTTCTGGATAGTTTTCAAAGGCAACCCCATGTAGAACTCACTGGAAATAGGAAGTGATCAAAGCATGACCGCTGTGACCAAGGCCTCCCAATCCAGGAAATGGTCCAATTGATGCACAAGATAAATATATGAGAAGGCCTCCCTAGCCACAGCTGCCACCTGCTCCTGAGCAGTAGATGTGAGTCTAAGAAGACCCTCAAAGGCAGCCCCATGTAGAACTCACTGGAAATAGGAAGTGATCAAAGCATGAGTGCTGTGACCAAGGCCTC